CACCTATGGATGAGGACAGTGTGGGGTGGGGTGGGAACCGGGTGGAGGGGAGCTATGGGGGGAAAAAAGAGGAACAACTGTAATAATCTGAACAATAAAGATTTAATTTTTTTAAAAAAAGGCTGCCAGAGAGAGACAGAATGTTACCTAGAAGGGATCTCCCATTAGACCAGGGGTCCTCAAACTATGGCCACATGCAAATACAAATATTGTATTTGTTCCTGTTTTGTTTTTTTACTTCAAAATAAGATATGTGGAGTGTGCATAGGAATTTGTTCATAGTTTTTTTTTAAACTATAGTCCGGCCCTCCAACGGTCTGAGGGACAGTGAACTGGCCCCCTGTTTAAAAAGTTTGAGGACCCCTGCATTAGACTATCAACCTATTTTTCAACAGAAACACATCAGGCCAAAAGGGAATGGAATGAAGTATACAAAGTGATGTAAAGCAAGGGATTGAATCCAAGAATACTCTATCCAGCAAGGTTATCATTCAAAATTGAAGGTGAAACCAGAAAATTCACAGTAAAAAAAAGGCTAAGGGAGTTTATTTCCACCAAGCCAGTAATGCAAGACATGCTAAAGGAACTGCTGTAAAAAGATGAAATAGAATGGGAAGAAGGAGCACAGTCATAAAGAAGAAAAATGGCAAAAAACAATACCTATCAATAATAACCTTAAACCTAAATGGATTAAGTGCTCCAATAAAAAGACAGGGTAGCTGAATGGATAAGAAAACATGACCCATATATATGATGTCTACAAGAGACCACCTCAGAAAAAAAGACTCACACAGACCGAAAGTGAAGGGATGGAAAAATATTTTCAGGCAAAAAAAAAATAAAAAAAAAAAAAATGGGGTTGCGATACTTATATCTGACAAAATAGACCTCAAAGTGAAGGCCATAAAAAGAGATAAGGGACCGACGTGGCCCTGGCGGGAGCCGAGCCGAAGCCAGAGTCACAGAGACGCGGAAACATGGAGGCCTGAGCCTCTGCCACTCTCTTGTCCCTGAGCTGGAAGCAGATCTCCCTGTCGGCTGAGACAGGTTGTCTTGTGGAAATGAAGATTTAAGGACAAGTTGTCTACCAGATTAGAAGATGGGATCAAACAGCAGCAGAATTGGTGATCTTCCTAAAAATGAGTACTTAAAAAAGTTATCAGGCACAGAATCTGTCTCTGAGAATGACCCGTTCTGGAATCAGCTTCTCTCATTTTCTTTCCCTGCACCAACCAGCAGTACTGATTTGAAGCTCTTGGAGGAGGCAACTATTTCAGTCTGCAGGTCTTTAGTTGAAAACAATCCTCGAACAGGAAACCTTGGTGCATTGATTAAGGTCTTCCTTTCTAGAACCAAAGAACTAAAACTTTCAGCAGAATGTCAGAATCACATCTTCATTTGGCAGACAGACAATGCTTTGTTTATTATTTGTTATTTGCTGAAAGTGTTCATCTGTGAGATGTCAGAAGAGGAATTACAACTTCATTTTACTTATGAAGAAAAATCTGGCAGTTACAGTTCTGACTCAGAAGATCTTTTGGAAGAATTAGTCTGCTGTTTGATGCAGTTAATCACTGATATACTCATAGACTTGGAAGAATTAGTCTGCTGTTTGATGCAGTTAATCACTGATATTCCACTCATAGACCTTACATATGAAATATCAGTGGAAGCTATATCAACAATGGTTGTTTTCCTTTCCTGTCAACTATATCACAAGGAAGTTTTGCGACAGAGCATTAGTCATTGATGCAAGGTCGATGTCTTCCATACACCAGCAAACTTGTGAAAACTTTATTGTATAACTTCATCAGACAAGAAAAGCCACCTCCCCCAGGCGCCCACGTTTTCCCTCAGCAGTCGGATGGGGGAGGACTGCTGTATGGACTTGCATCAGGCGTAGCAACTGGACTCTGGACTGTCTTCACCCTGGGTGGCGTGGGAAGCAAAGCGGCCAACATGCCGGCACTTTCTTCCCCTCTGGCCAACCAGCGTCTCCTGCTCCTGCTGGTGCTGGCCAACCTGACAGATGCTGCAGATGCCCCAAACCCCTACAGACAGGCCATCATATCCTTCAAGAACACACAAGATAACAGTCCTTTCCCCTTGTCAATTCCACATGCTTTCCAGATTAATTTTAACAGTTTGTACACGACTCTGTGAGCAGCAGACATCTGATCAGGCAACTCTCCTATTGTATACATTGCTCCATCAGAATAGTAATATTAGAACGTACATGTTGGCTCGCATAGATATGGAAAATCTTGTTTTACCAATTCTTGAGATTCTGTATCATGTTGAAGAAAGAAACTCACACCACGTGTATATGGCGCTTATAATATTGTTGATCCTTACAGAAGATGATGGCTTCAATAGGTCCATTCACGAAGTGATATTAAAAAATATTACTTGGTATTCAGTACGGGTTTTAACAGAAATTTCACTGGGGAGTCTCCTAATACTGGTCGTAATAAGAATCATTCAGTACAACATGACAAGGACAAGAGACAAGTACCTTCACACAAATTGTTTGGCAGCTTTAGCAAATATGTCAGCCCAGTTCCGTTCTCTCCATCAGTATGCTGCCCAGAGGATCATCAGTTGGTTTTCCTTGCTGTCTAAAAAACACAACAAAGTTCTGGAACAAGCTACACAGTCCTTGAGAGGTTTGCTAAGTTCCAATGATGTTCTTCTACCAGATTATGCACAAGACCTAAATGTCATCAAGGAAGTGATTCGAATGATGTTAGAGGTCATCAATTCCTGCCTGGCAACTTCTCTTCACCACAACCCAAACCTGGTGTATGCACTGCTTTACAAATGAGATCTCTTTGAGCAATTTCGAACTCATCCTTCATTTCAGGACATAATGCAAAATATTGATCTGGTGATCACCTTCTTCAGCTCCAGGTTGCTACAGGCTGGAGCTGAGCTCTCGGTGGAATGGGTCCTGGAAATCATGAAGCAAGGAATTGTTGCTCTGCCCAAAGACAGGCTGAAGAAGTTTCAGGAATTGAAATTCAAGTATGTGGAAGAGGAGCAGCCCGAGGAGTTCTTCATCCCCTATGTCTGGTCCTTGGTGTACAGCTCTGCCGCCGGCCTGTACTGGAGCCCGCAGGACATCCAGCTGTTCAGGATGGACTCCGACTGAGGGCAGCCCTGCCCACCCTGCCACCAAGCACCTTCTCGCTCTTTCTTTCTGGCGAACAGACCAGGGAGATGGCCTGGTGTGTCTTCTGTTAGGATCAGGAAACAGGCGTGTTTCCCTTGCACACTCGGATGTGGAGCATCGGTGTCAGTTGTTAGTAGATCACTCGGCTTCGATTATAGTACAAAAGGGGGGGGGGGCACAACAATGATAAATATCCAACCTGCTGTCAATGAAAAAAAAAAAGAGATAAGGAAGGCCACTTCATAATACTAAAGGGAGCAATTAAATAAGAAGATATAACTCTGGTAAACATATATGCACCAAATACAGGAGCACACAAATACATAAAAAAACTTCTGGAAGGTATCAAGGAAGAGATCAACAGCAATACAATCATAGCAGTGGACTTTAATACCTCATTGACACCACTGGATAAATCCTCTAGACAAAAAATCAGCAAAGAAACAGCAATCCTAAACAACCCACTAGATCTGATAGAATTAATTTAAAAAATATATATTTTATTGGTTTTTTAGAGAGAGGAAGGGAGAGGGATAGAGAGCTAGAAACATCGATGAGAGAGAAAAATCAATCAGCTGCCTCCTGCACACTCCCTACTGGAGATGTGCCCACAACCAAGGTACATGCCCTTGAGTGGAATCGAACCCGGGACCCTTCAGTCTGCAGGCCAATGCTCTAAACACTGAGCCAAACCAGTCAGGGCCAATAGAATTAATTGACATCTTCAGAACATTTCACCCCAAAGCTACAGAATACACATTCTTCTCAAGTTCACATGGGGCATTTTCAAAGACAGACCACATGGTAGGACACAGACTAAGTCTCTACAAATTCAAGAAGGTAGAAATCATCTTTTCAGATCACAATGGCATAAAATTAGAAATCCACTACAATAAAAACAATCAAATACATGGAGGCTAAATAGCATGCTATTAAACAATGAACAGGTTATCAAATAGATCAAAGAAGAAATAAAAAACATTCTGGAAACAAATAAAAATGAAAACACAACAATTCAAAATGTGTGGGACACAATGAAAGCACCCCTGAGAGGGAAGTTCACACTAGCACTACAGGCCTACCTCAAAAAAACAAGAAAAACTGGCAATAAGTTATCTAACCCTACAACTTAAAGAACTAGAAAGAGAGCAACAAGAAAAGCCCAGGGTAAGTAGAATGAAGGGTATAATAATGATAAGAACAGAAATAAATGACATAGAGACAAAACAAAACAAAACAAAACAAACAAACAAACAAAACAAAACACCAAAAAAAAACCCACCCCCAAAATCCCCACAAAAAAACAATACAAAAGATCAATAGAATCAAGAGCTGGCTCTTTAAAAGGATAAACAAGATTGATGAATCTCTAATCAGGCTCACCAAGAAACAAAGAGAGAGGACCCAAATAAACAAAATCAGAAATGAAAGAGGTGAAGTCACAAATGACACCACAGAAATACAAAGGGTGTTAAACAGACACCGAAACAGACTTCTTTTAGTCTTTATTGTAACTTTGTACTATCTTTAAAAAACTAGAACCTTGGAAGAATTTTTCAAAGAATTAATGCATCATTGTATATGAATCTAAATGAGGAACATTATTAACATTGAAGTGCTAAATGAGAGAAAATTTTCAAATGGGCTGAAAATGTCCATTTCTAGAACATATTCACATATGTGCAATATTATATATGTATCATGTTTACATGCATACATATACATATACATAGGATTGTACTGAAGCATCTATATATATAAAAAACCGGCGACTGGAACCCCAGAACGACCAGAACAACCGGTTGCTATGACGCCCACTGCAGTCAGCCAACCTGCCCAATCAGGGGCGGGGCTGGCTGGCCAACCTCCCATGGCTCCTCCCCCCAGCTGGCCTGGCCCCAATCGGCCCCCACCCTTACATGAATTTGTGCACTGGGCTTCTAGTTTTTAATAATAAAGAATTAGACACTACCTAAATGCCCTTAGTTAAGAAATTGGTTTATTAAATAATGGTGATAAGATTAACTTGAAATGCAGGAAGACAGGGCAGGGGTCCAGTGTAAAACAAAGGCAGGTGGAACATAGGCAGGGGCAGACATGGCAGTTTGAGCAAGCCTAATCACAGGAACCAACCACGCAGAAATAATAAAATGTTTCTGGACTCAAAGTGGGAGGCATGAGAAAACAAGGGAGGGCCTGCAGCAACAAGGTGTATAAACACATAGAAACAGAGAAAGTTCAGCATAGAAACAGAGAAATTTCAGCATAGGAACAGAGAAAGAATACATAGAAGCAGGGAAAGTTCAGGTCTGTTGCTGGGTAAGAACACTTGGGGAAATCAATTAGGTGACAACATGGATAGATATAGAGCAGGCTTGTAGCAAATATATACCCCTAGAGTACAAGGCTTCACAGGCAGCCCATTATTGGGCCCCACTCCCCATGTGGGGAGTCTGAATCTGCTTGTAATAAATTTTCCACACTTTTGCTTAAATCTTCTGGGCCAAGGAACTCATTCTTTGGTGTCATGAGACATGACCCTGGGGAAAAACCTGGGCTCATGGTTCAGTTATTACCTTTGATGGCTCAGTCTGAGAATCAATCTCTCCCCATCAAATGGTGAGCCTATTGACCCTATCACTTCTTTTGATGTTTCCTTTGTTATTTTGGAAGCATTGTTGGGTGTCTGTCAGCCACAAAATCAGGTTGCTGTCTCCAGGGGGCACTTTTCTTTTTCAATTTCCAAATGCAGTCTAAGGCTTTTGGGTCATTTAAAAGCAGGCTTGGGTTAGCCAGTTAAAAACCATTAGGGTGGCTTCCACATAAAAAGGCTCCCATGGAAGGATGAACTGGCTGTTGGACCGGGTTAGAAAGCAGTAGGCTTCCCGCCAGTTGCAAGACCAAGTCTGACCAATGACTAAATGAGTGCTTGGATCCTTATGCAGGCTCCAAAGATCAAAGAGGCAAATTCCTCCCCCTGGTTTGAGAATCTCGAATGTTCTTATGAGTAATGACCTCGCAGAGATGTCTGGGGTTAAACCCTAAGACGTGCAGGGGCCTCATAGGGACTAGAGAATACAATGGTGATTAAATTCTGACCTGTCCAGGGAGTGCACATAAGAGCTGGTCACTCAGTGCTCCGAGTCTTCATGGCTGTTTTAGACAGCTGGGGAAAGAAACTGAGACACGTAAAAGGAGGAAATGACCAGAGGTTTCACTGCCTCTGGGAGTTCCCTTCATAAATAGCATACTTGGACCCACTACATACAGCCCAACCCTGGCCTGTTCCCTTGTTAGGATTTCTATTGCCAAAGATCTGCTCAAACTTTCATGCCTTTTTCCTCCTCCTGCCCAAGGTTGGGGGTGAGGGAATGCTAAATTCTTCAGATCCTGGCCCAGGCTGGTTGATCTGTCATTCTTGATGTCCGCTACTACAGATAGACCCAGCCATGTGTGAATGGAGGATTCCTTCATCTCCCCAATGCCTCCTTGGACCTGACCCCCACAGACCTGATTTCTTCCAGCTCCTTGCAATGGCCTTGTGGGGATAAGAAGGGATTTGGGTCTTCAATAGAATGTTACTGGATCCAAGGAGGGAATGCCCTTGCCTGAGGGGCACAGCTTGACCTGGTGTTCACACAACACCATGTGCTGGCGAGCATTTAAAGTAGGATGGAGAGGTAGGTCAGGGCATTTTCCACACATTAGGGCATTAGATCATCAGACAGAATGGAGGAGGACTGCAGGGTTTGAATTTACAACAATGCTTAAGGCCCTTCAGCACTTTCTACAGTGCTCCCTGTGGTTCTTAGGACCTTTGAAATACAAGTACCTGTTCCAAAATTCTAGTCTGGCCATCTTTAAAGGCACAAGTTTCTAGGAAAAACTTAGCCACATGTGCAAATCAAATTAACTCATTACAGTTTTGATTGCTAGATCGCCTGCTTTTATCTTTATTGCTAAAAGTCTGTAAAGTAGATTTAGAGCTGTTATAATGTCTTTTGCTTTGTTGAGAATGTGCTTTGAAACTAAGTATTTTTAAAATATGTTCATAAAGGTCAATCTAAGAAATGCTGGTTATTTGCTTTCTTGGTTATTGAGGTTTGATGAGACTTCTAGAAATTATTAATTGGAAATTATGTAATTTTGGTAATAAAAACATGGTACATAGAGATGCATTTTGAAAACTAATTATTTCTAAAAATTGTAAAAAGGTTTATAAAAATTATAAAAGTTTTATAAGGAAAAATGTTAAAGGAAATTAAAATAAAGCCAAACTATGTGGGCAATTTGCAGCCAATTTGTAACTAACAAACCATTATTTCCCTCAGCCAAGTACAGAGAGCAAATGGTTAAAAATAAAAACCTCCCTACAGAAAGGGAGGGGGGAAGGCAAAAGGGAAAAAAGCCGTTTTACTCCCTAGGCAAAGAGGCTGGTAGTCTCAAGGCTTGTCAAGGTCAAGTTGCCAGGTGTCGCATGATTTCTGAAAAGACTACAACAAAATAAGAGGGAATCTTAAGAATTGATACGTACCAGAATATTCAACAGAGCAATTTTAGGAGGTTGTATAATGCCTTGGACCCCGACCCAGCCTGCTCTTCGGATTGGCTGGGGGCCCATGTATACTTCATGAGCCAGATGTATAGTTTTACTTGCTTTGATTTTTCAATGGAGATACATACTTTGATTGCCTTAGTTGATTGGTTTTTCACAATACAGTCAAAGTCTCTCATATAAATTCATTTGTGTGAGAAGACAAAATTCAGTTTTATGACTTTTGGTAAAAGTATTCCTAATTTTTGAACTTTGTTTTTCAAGTACAGGGAAATAAGGCAATTTAGTAAAATATATATTTTTCTCCCTACTTAATCCCTCTGGATTTTGGCAATCCACAATAAATAAGTCATAACAATGCATTTCTTTGCATGAGTTCAATAAGACCAGTTTCCAATAATAGTTTTATTAACCAAGACTTTTGCTGGGGTGTCATATCTGAGAGAGACATGCCTGAACTCTGGGTGTCACCAGAAGACTTAAAGCCAATGTGAGCACTTTGGAGAACAGCCTGATACCTCGCTTGGTCACATAGTTCATGGCAGTCTTTCCAGGTAAGAAAAGAAGGTTACTTTCCTGAGAGATGGCACAAAAAAAGAACCTCAAGACATCTGTGAGGACCTCAACTTGAGGAATGCATCCTGAATCTGCA